CCCACCCTCCCACCAAAAAACTTCGCCCGCCCGGCCCAACACTTTTTACCGATTGGCCCGCCCGGCCCGAAAGAAAAGCTTCGTTGGGCCGGGCCGAGCCGAGCCGGGCCGGTCCACTGGGCCGGGTGGCCCGTTTCGAGCCCTGCAAGGTACATTATTTGAATTAAGGGATTCAATGAATTATTATTGCTTCTCTTTTTTTTCAGGAAAAATTAATTCATTTGAAATGTTTTTCATTGACTTGTGATTTAATAACGTTGTTTTATGAAGAATCGGTTGTACCTCTACTAAATCGAATGTCGAATTTAGAACAACTATCCTTGTATCTCATCATCAATTGCTATGGTCTTTATAACTCATTTATCGATGGAGATAATTTGAAAAAAGATATTATTTGTCATATGCCAAAGTTAAATAATTTCGTATTTAGTCTCCATTCCATTATAAATCATGTTGATTATTCAATTCATTTACCATCAAATGAAGACATTCAACGTACATTTAAAGGTCTTGAAGATTATCAAATTATATCTTATATCGATTATTTTCCAAATGAAAAAATTGGTCGATGTCATATCTATTCGTATCCATGTCAAATGAGATATTACTATAAACTTGCAAATAGTTTTCCAGGTGGATTATTCAAATTCGTTCAGCACGTATTTCTCTACGATGAACGCCCTTTTGAATTCGAATTTTTCATTCAAATTGCTCAAGCATTTCCATTTCTTAAAACATTAGTTATGGGAAATGAATCACCACAAAAATATAAACAATTTAAGAAATCAAACGTCAACAATGGAAATCTACCAATTATTGAATATCCCTATCTTACTTTACTCAATCTCTTGGATGCTCATAATGATTACATTGAACAATTTCTTGATAATACGAAAACTTATCTATCAAATTATATTCATCTTGTCGTCGATTATCATTCTTTAGAAAGAGTGACATACGACTTTACAAGGAATGCAACGCGAATTAATTGTAGGAAAGTCAATATGTTGTCTGTATATGATAAATTAGTCGCTTCCAAGCATCTCAATGACTATTTTCCTCATGCAAAAAATATAAGATAAAAATTAGACAATAAAAAATAACATATTGGTAGTTGATATATCTTAATAAACAGAAGAGGATAAGGAAATAAAGAATCGGCTCACTGGTTGATTCATATTTTGTTGAAAATAAACAGAAGTGTCTCAATTTTTGTTTCTAAAGGTACTAATCTCATATGTTGAAACAAATCAGATGAAACGATGATATCAGTCAAATTTTATAATCTCAAATACGTTCTTTTTTAACAAAAAAGTTCATAGAACATTTATAATCTGATGAAAAAAATAGTTTAATCAGCCATTACACTAATCCTTATCAGAGATGCTCACTGGAGCATCCATGGAGAACCCATCCCTCTGGGGATGGGGCGATAAACTTTTGTTGATGATGAAACAATTCTTTTAAAAAGGACAATCAACATTAAATAACAAAAAAAAACGACTAATAATTGACTTACGAAGTATTTACCATATTCTCTGGATCTTCTTGTAATTCATCATAATCATTTTCAGTAGTGATCCATGATAAAGATTCGTCAATTGATGATAATTCATTATCTGTACATTCAAATTGATTTTCTCTTTTGAAAACTTTTAAAGATTTTGATACATTTTCGTTGTATTGTTGCATCACTTTTGGTTGATTTAATTCTAAAATAATAAAATTCAATTTGACAACTAATTAAATATTTACTCTTGTAAAGTCATAAACATAAAAAACTAACTAGAAAAATAACCATCGAATGATTTTAAAATAATATATGGAAAAAAACTCCTGAACACTTGTTTTCGATATATCTTTGCAACGGCTTGAGCAATTTCAACAAACAAATAGTCATTTGAAGAGCATTTTAAAGTATATCTATCGTATAAAAATGATGGTTCTAGCTTAAGAAATAAGGGAGTTATAAACGTGAGAATATTATCAAAGTTTTTAGGGAGATTTTTTATACATATAAAAACACAAAAGAAAAAAAGTAAAAAATGGAAAGTTTGAACATTAATGAACTTCATGCGACGAACTAGACGAGAGAAGCGGCCGTGAGAGAGTGATAGTCAGTGGGCAGCCAGGAGGAGAAAAAAGTCATAGGATCAGTGAAGAGGAAGAGAGATCACGGTTATATGCGGTTTTGATTCTCAAAAAACATTCTTTAATGTTACACTATCAGAGCATGAAACAGATTTCTTTCATCTTGTATATTCATTTTTATCCTTTTTTTGATAACAAAAACTAACTATACATAAGATAATTTTACAATGAAAATAATCATATATGGGCGTTACAAGCCGACCTGATACTCCATAGAAAATAATGTTATTTCAGGGAAGAGTATATAATGAATTTTATACCCAATGAAAGCTCGTTAGAAACGGGATTTATTGGTACTAAATAGTAAGGGCTTTGTGAACTGTAGAATGTCGAAATTAAGAAATTTCATACATTTTTGGCATAGAAAACTAAGATGCCAGTAATTCAAAAATGGAGTAAAAATTTTTTTCTAGAATATTTTTACATGATTTGATAGGGTTCGTCGAGCTCTACAAAACTGTATGAATTGGAGATTTTTTACGTCATTTTTTTAAGATAAAAAATTAAAAAAACTGTTTGGAAAATTTTAAAAAGATGTTAAATAACTCATATTTTCTATATGGAAGAAAAACACAACATTTTTCCGTAAAATTAGCTTTTTTTCCAAGGGAGAAAAAGCTGATTCTATGGTGATAGAATCACTCGGAATCACGCAGAATCAATAGAATCACTCAGAATCAATAGAATCACTCAGAATCACCTGGAATCACTTGGAATCACATACAATAAAACACCTAAAAAATGAATGCCTATGCTTCTTATCAAGCTGGATCGAGCACATTTCATCACTTAGCAGCAGTTAATAAGATTTTTGCCGTTTTTTACCAAGTAGTAGAATTAATTTCATAATTTTACAACAAAGAAGCAAATTTTGTTAAGCCCGTGAATATTTTCTTCAGAAGCATACACGTGTGTAAGTTCAAATCGAGGCTTTTTGCAACTTCTCCTTGGTTTTAGGAATGGCGAGTGAGAAGGGGAGGAGAAAATCAGAGATTATTTGGTAGGTTTCTATAGTAACGAGAAAAGTAGTGTAAACTTTAACGATGCTTATGTCATTCTGAAACTCTGTACACTCTAACTACGAAGTCTAGATATAACAAGTTTTGTTATTTAATGCAGAGAAAGAGTGTTCTTGTAGGTATCATTCAGTAGGTCGATGGTATTATTCATCTAATAGAGTGAGAATAGGACGAGCACGTAAAATTGCGAAATAATTGAATTCCAAGTTTAGAAAAAACTCAACATTATATCTCACAATTTGTCAAAAGATATAATAATGTACCAGATTCTCCATGAATGATCAAATCAATTTATATATCAAACTAATATGGTAGTTGAACAGACGATTGAAAAAATAAAATGATATGTGCACTTCAAACAACGGTAAAGTATCAAAATATCGAAAGTGAAAATGTCGAAAATAAGATGTCGAAAGGCAAAATGCCGAAAATTAGGAACCCTTATAAATCCTAATTTGAAAACTTTTTCTAAGTTTTGGACAATGGAATATAATAGGACATGCACACACACAGCGCAGCGTGAGGGTGAGGGTGAAATCTTTGACCAAATTGGATTTAGACTTTCGGCATTCTGCTTTCGACATGTTTACTTTCGACATTTTTACCTTCGACATTTACCCACCAAACCCATACAACATGTGTCATGCATATTATCATTAGAACAAAAGAATCGAGGGATTGACGATGTACTGTATTTTACATTAGAATAAGCCTTTTCAGTTTAACAATATAAAAAGAATTGAATAATTTGCTCGATTAATAATAATAAATGAACACATTTTCGAAATGTTTAAATGTAAGAGCACACGTATCAGCTATAAAAAGTTGTAAGGGTGGGTGGGTGTGGGTGTGGGTGTGGGTGGTGTGGGTGTGGGTGTGGGTGTGGGTGTGGGGTGTGTGGGTGTGGGTGTGGGTGTGAGTGTCAGTGTGGGTGTGGGTGTCGGTGTGGGTCTTACGTTCACAGACCCACCCCACCCACACCACACCCTCAGGAAAAGTGTCTATCAGGTAAATTTTTTTCATACATCTATTTACCATGGCATTTATAGAAAATCACTGGCATACTCTGATTTGCTACACTCTTCTCTATGTATTCATAATGAAAACAGTGAAACGATAAGCTTTTTTTAATTGAAAAATTTTACAAGATCGCCGAGAGACGCCGTCTCTTTTCATTTTTCTTTCATTTTTAAACACCCATAAGTCGGAATGAAAATGATTTACAGTAGTGAAACGTTTAGGAATGTAGAAAGACATGGAGAAGAATATTTCATAAAATTTTCAAGTCAATTGAAGTAGTGGAACAATAGGTATTTATGATTTAATATTGTAACTGCAATTGTACAAATGACATAAAAATCGCCCATATATACAGGGTGGCCCAAAAGTCATGTTACCCAAAAAAAATTAAATATCTTCCTTACGGCTTGAGCAAAGAAGCTGATTTTTTTATCAATGATAGAGGCATCCTCAGGCTTTATATCTATAAG